CATGTGAACCTCATCTTGTGACGAAGCCTGATGGGAGTATTCGTTTCTACATCGACTATCGTCCATTAAATGAAGTGACGATCCCGGACGTGTACCCTCTTCCTCACACTGCTGATCTCTTGGATCGTCTGGGGCGAAGTCGTTGGTTCACCAAGCTAGATCTTGCTTCTGGGTATTGGCAAGTACCGATGGCCGAAGAAGATATTTCTAAGACTGCTTTTCGTACACCATTTGGTTTGTACGAGTTCTTGGTGATGCCGTTTGGTTTGAACAATGCTCCAGCAACTTTTCAGCGGATGATGGACGAGGTTCTTTGCGATATGTCAGAGGTGACGGCTGACTTCATTGATGATGTCTTGATCCACTCGGAGGGGACGTGGGAGGAGCATGTTCGTGATGTTTGTAAAGTGTTGGATCAGCTACGCGACGTTGGTTTAAAGCTGAAGCGGTCAAAGTGCGTGTTTAGGTCCAAGGACACAACTTATCTTGGGTACCGTATTTCTCGTGAGGGTTTGCAAGTTGATCCTGACAAACTTGTGGCTGTTCTAAAGTTCCCTACTCCGAAGTGTGTGAATGATGTGCAGCGTTTTTTGGGTAAGGTGCAGTATCTCGGTTGTTTTGTGGATCATCTTTCCGATCGCACTACACCATTGTGAGCGTTGCTAAAGTCATCAACGTCATCTTTCATCTGGTCTCCGGATTGTGAGCGGGCATTCATGAATCTCAAAGAGCTATTAACGACTCCTCCAATTTTGGCATATCCTGACTACACTTGACCTTTTATTTTGCGCGTGGATGCTTCTGACATTGGTCTTGGAGGTGTATTGATGCAAGAGAGCTCGAGTGTGCCTGGTCAGTGCCATCCCATTGCATACATAAGCTGTACATTACAACCAACGGAGATGAACTACTCCACGATAGAGAAGGAGTGTTTAGCAGCAGTCTGGGGTTTCGAGAAACTTTATGCATATCTACATGGTTCTCGGACGTTACTTGAAGGTGACCATGCTGTTGTTACTTCATTATTGAAGCAGAAGAACCTGGTTGGTCGTACGGCTCGATGGGCTTTGAAGCTTTAGATATATGATTTTGATGTTGTTCATCGCCCAGGGAGTTCTATGGCTGATGCTGATGCCCTTTCTCGAGTTCCTCTTCCTTCTCCACTCACTTCTCATGTTTCTGACGAACCTGTTGTTCCAACATCTGTGGATTTTCCAGATGAGGATTTTGTGCCGTCGGCAGTTGCTGTCCTTGACGTTCAGTGTCCACAGGGCACAGAGCAAGATCTACCTTCTCTTGATGAGGTTCGCGAGGCTCAAAAGATTGAGCCGTGGATTCGAAGGCTTCGAGATGGGTTTGAGAATCCTGGATCACTTGCTGATGACTTGCCTTTCCGGCATTTACATTCTCAATATTGCCTTGAAGATGACCTTTATTTTGTAGGGACGGATCCTGATGATCATTTACGGCTGGTGGTGCCTTCGGTGTTTATTCCGCGGTTTCTCCATGCCTACCATGATTCTCCTGTTTTAGGTGGGCATATGGGACACCGTCGTGTCACCGAGAAGCTGCACAGGTCTTTCTATTGGCTAGAGATGCGACGTGATATTATCTGGTATGTGCGTAGCTGCATTTGGTGCCAAACTCGTAATACTCCCCCTTGTGCTGCGGAAGGACGGTTGGAGTCAATTGCAGTTTCCCGTCCATTTGAGTTGGTGGCGTTTGATCTTATGGGACCTTTTCCACGATCGACTGCTGGCAATGAGTATGTTATTATTGCTTCTGACTACTTGACTCGTTGGGTGGAAGTTGGTGCTCTTGCTAGTGCCTTTGCAACTGCTGTTGGATATTTCCTCCTCAATCGAGTGGTGTTCTAGCATTCTTGTCTAGAGCAGATTCTTTCGGATAATGGTCCTGCATTTATGGTTGAGGTATTTCATGTTTTGACATCTCGGTTGGGGATACGCCACACTTTTACGAGTGCTTATCATCCACAATCAGACGGTCTGGTGGAACGGCTCGTTCGGACATTCAAAGGGATGATTGTGAAGTATGTGAACTTTCAGCATTCAGATTGGGATGGTTATTTGCCGTCTCTTCGGTATGCCTATGTCACAGGGGTGCAGAGTTCTGTTGGTGCTTCACCATATAAACTTTTATATGGTCATGATCCAATATTACCAATGGAGCTGGGTTTACCTTCGCGATTGCCACGAGCTCCTGATGTTAGGTCATGGGATCAATATTTGACAAGCATTCTTCCACTTGTCCGAGCAGAGTCTGCTGAACACTTAGGCCGCGTACAAGTGGGACAACAACGGCACTACAATTCCCATCATCGTCCACCTGCAGAGTACAAAGTGGATGATTTGGTGTTAGTCTGTTTTCCCCATCTTACGGTATGTGGTTTATCTAAGGGGCTCCTTGCGCAGTGGAAAGGACCGTATCGGGTGTTGCGGCATGTTGGACCACAAGTTTATGAGGTTCGGCATGACGTTCAGCAGGCCGATCCTCCGGAGATTGTGCATGTGCAGTGGTTAAAACGCTTCATACAAAGGGATCAGGAGCAGTTAATACCATTTACAGATCCACCGATGCCTCCTCTTGACGTTCCTCCATATCCCGGCCCATCTACAAGAGAACCCTGACGGCCTTCCATTATTCCGAGAGGAGGGGATGATGTGAGGGCCAAGTGTATGGCTACGATGCTGTATACTAATATTAGCGTAGTGGGATTTTGGTAGCCGTCGGATTAGTTTTAATCTGGACCACTCGCTCCTGTATATAAGCTAGGGTTTCTGGGCTAATTGATATGCACATTTTTGTATTCTCTTTCCATATTCCATGCACTCACAAATTATATTTTTTTCAGGTCTATATTTAAACTAAAACAATAATAAAATCCAATTAAGTATTATCAATTCTAATTAAATTAAGAGAGATTTTTTTAATAATATGTAACATAGGATTGGAGAATTTTAAATTTATTGGGACTCAGACTAAATAAAAGAAAATTATAATAAATAACCCTTTCTAAACTCATTTTTATACCAAAATATCCCTTTTCTATTTGTTGATATAAGTTTGAATTTGTCTTTTATTGCTTAGTGTACCACACATTGCCATCCATGTTTGTGTTATATAGCAAAGCCAATTTTAATTCTCTATAACAATGACTATACATATGCATGTATAAGATCTAATTGTGTGTGATTTTAAGATTGAGCTTTAATTATTATATATAGTGGTAAATTAAAATTTTCACCTCATCTTTAGTTTAGTTGCAATACAATTATACTAAATATGATTTTGAGGTTTATCCCCCTTATTTATCTCTCTCTCATGTATGGTAATTACTTACAGTGCCACTCACTATATAGTTGCATGTGAGCTGATGGCAAATAACCATCCTAATCTGAATGCTGAAAGTTCATATACTTTGTAATTATCCCTTTGAATATTTGCATATTACTTACTTTTTGAAATGCACTCCAACTCTCTCTTTTTAAGCTAACTACAAAAAAGAGGGTAATTATTTGACCGTTTATTCCTTAAAATTAAGGATTTATAATGACAATATTTCCAAATCTCACTACATCATCACATATATAAAATTAAGAATGAATATGGAATGAAAAATATTTAGTACAATCTCTCATATTTTTTCTTTTGGGCCAGTACAACTTTTATAAGATATTTGGCCATCTTATGCATGGTATATACAACAATTGGATTGAGAAGGCATATTCTACCAAATCCTTAATCCAATAGCTCAAAGCAATCCATTGAACTAGGGAGTTCCTAACAAGAACATTCCTTATTGTGGAATAACCAAATTATTACACTGGATTACATTCCTGTTTGAGTTTGTAATCCTTCAATAACTATTTCAATATATATTCTTGCTAGGATTGCTTAATGAAAGATTTCCCAAGATGTTCTTCTCAATGGATTTGCTTTGATTACATGGCCATGATGTGGCATGCAAAATTGGCCACATCAAATAATCCTTCCCCAATGCAATGGAATCTTTGACAACATATCTAACCCCCACACTTTCTATATTGTACTTTTGGAACCTTCACTCTCAACTTTCTGAATTAAAACTTTTAGTTCAAATGTGTTACATATGTTAAACATTTGTTTCAACTACTTCCATGTGTGGCTCCACTTTGAGGCTTAGGGATTTGTGTCTTATAATTCCACCACCCATAAATGACGTTTAATATCTTTATTGAATAACAAACTATTTTATAAAGTAACCTCATCATAAATTACCATTTTCATCCTTAGCACCAAGTTAATATTCGTTAATGGTTTGACACTAAAGGCTCACCATGTTTTGCCCATTCTTTAAAGAGCATAATCTCTCTAACATAAAGTCTCATTAAATCACATATGGTGGTTCTCTTTGTTCATTTAGTTCTCATTAAACTTATTAGAGACACTTCTCTATCTCAATTTTACTACTCATTCTAGAGTAGTCTCAGCCTCTATCAATATAACCATCATACTTTAGAACTTTGATATTCATTTCTTGAGTTAATTTCCTCCTTTACTTGAAGACACCATTATCCTCTCTTTTATTTTATCCCACCGTAAACTTTAAGTTCCATTTATTCATAATTTGTACTAAAGCTGTCTATGGCTCTATTATTTGACTACTTTGCCACACCATCTCTTAGAGCTTTCATTTTTGCCACATTAAAAATAATATTTTAAAATACTAAAGTCTTAAACACAAGAGCATTTATAGATTTAATTTTGAATGTTTTTAAATTTGAATTTGCATTATAATTGAATATGAAGAAATATTTGATAACATTATTATTTGAAAAGGTTTATTAGAATCTCACCATTTGACATAGTAGTCAACGGTCAAGTCGTATGGTTTGAGAATGAGTGGTTGCATGTCGCGACGTGGCCACGAATCATCGCGCGTGATTCCGGAATCTTGTGGCCAGAGCTACGTTTATCCACCTCTCAGTATTTCTCAATACTCCGCTGGTTTTGGGTTTTAGGTCATGCGCCTTGTTGACTTGCGTCGCGGCGCCTAGATCGAGCCGGTCGAAATCCCAGGATGAGCAGCCATGGATCGGCAGGAGCTGGCAGTAAATCCTCCAAGCGCCCACCGGCTGCGAAGAAGAAGCCAATCTCGGAGAATGGGAGCCTTCGGAAGACGAAATCGTAAGTTCTCGTCCTTTTCTCTCAAACTCTCTTCAGTTATAGGAATCCACCAGCTCCGGAGGCGAGAGAACCGTCAAGAAGCTGAGGCTTTCCAAAGCCCTGACTATTCCCGATGGAACCACTGTAGCCGATGCTTGCCGGCGGATGGTCACCAGGCGAGTGGATGCTGCGTTGCTCACGGATTCCACTGCAATGCTTTGCGGGATTATCACGGACAAAGTAAGTGGTGTCTCTTCTTTTTCTCTTTTTATAGTTTTTCTCTTTTGACATCGGCAGGATGTAGCCACTAGAGTGATAGCTGAGAACCTTAGGCCCGATGAAACACTGGTTTCGAAAGTCATGACTAAAAATCCCGTCTTTGTCATGAGCGACGCGCTTGCTGTGGACGCTTTGCAAAAGATGGTCCAAGGTATTCTACAACTTTGAAAGCCTTCGTGAGATTCCCAAACCTCCATTTCTCTGCAGGGAAATTTAGACACCTTCCAGTCGTGGAGAATGGCGAAGTCATTGCACTGCTGGATATAACAAAATGCTTGTATGATGCGATTGCGAGAATGGAGAAAGCAGCAGAGAAAGGAAATGCGATAGCTGCGGCTGTCCAGGACGTTGAACGACAGTGGGGAAACACGCTCAATAGTAAGTCTGAGGTTTTTCTTTTCTTTTTTCTTGTGTTTTATCCTATTGACGCGGTGGATTCTCGGCAGGCTCTTCAACTTTCATAGATACACTGCGCGAAAGAATGTTTCGGCCAACGTTGTCAACGCTGATTAACGAGAACACGAAGTCAGTATATCTGCGATTTGTTTTCGTCTTATTTATTTGCTATGAATGTCCAGAGTAGCTACTGTGTCTCCTTCCGACACCGTGTTGACAGCAACTAGAAAGATGCGCGAGTTTCGCGTGAACTCTGTAATCATCACGATCAACAATAAGCCGCAGGGGATCTTGACGTAAGTAAAATGTCTTTTCCTTACGGATCTCTAACCTCCTCTACTTTTCTTAGCTCGAAGGATGTTCTCATGCGTGTTGTTGCGTCAAATCTTGCTCCCGATTCGACCACAGTCGATAAGGTAATCTCTTATAATCTTCAACGAAAGCCTGTACTTCAGTTTTACTGGATTTCAGGTCATGACTCCAAATCCTGAATGCGTTACACTGGAAACAACCATTGTAGATGCACTCCATACCATGCACGACGGGAAGTTTCTTCACCTTCCAGTGGTAGATCAGGGTACGTTACGAATCTCCGGTTTTCACATACATTCTGATTTTTGTTTGTTTTGAGATAAGAAAACTGCATTGTTGCATGCCTCGATGTGCTTCAACTTACTCACGGTGCTGTGGCTACGGTATGTCGTCTAGGAACTCTAGTTTGATGGATTTCAATCTAACCATTTTCTCAAGGTTGGAAACGTTGGAGGTGGCACACCAAGTGAAACCGGAAGCACAATGATGCAAAAGTTTTGGGATTCGGCATTCGCGCTGGACGCACCAGAAGACGACGACGACACGCAAAGGTCTCATTTCCATTTGGCTTCCGTTTGTTGTCTAACGAGAAGCTTGGGGTCAGTAATCTATCTGCAACGCTTACGTCGGAAGCATTCCACACCGAAGTTGGAAGGCTGGGATATCCATCCGGTGGACCCGGTAACGTCTTTGGCTTTAAACTTAAGGACAGGAACGGGCGGGTCCATAGATTCAACTGCGGTACGTTTTGCGAGCGTCCGGATTTATTAAGCTGTTTGACTATTGGCTGTAAACTTTAGGTACGGAGAGCCTTACGGAGCTTGTATCTGCGGTAGTCCAACGTCTTGGAGATGATATAGATCGGAACAAGCCTCCTCAAATCCTGGTACTTTTCTTTCTAGCTAAAACAGCAAGCATAAACCGTTTAGTGCCTTTTTCCAGTACGAGGACGATGAACGGGATCGGGTGCTTCTGTCTAGCGACGGCGACCTTGTTGCGGCTGTCAATTTTGCGAAGGCAACTGGCTTGAAGGTAAGAAGAAGATTCGAAGCTGGAAAACCTTCGTGTTAAATCGTCCTCGACTCCAGGGTCTCAAGCTTCACGTAGACTACCCAGACGAACGGGCGAACGCTACTACTCCAAGGAACTTGGAACGGATTCTCGAGGGAAGTCCATCGCAACAAATGAAGCTAGAAACTGTATGGAGTGGAAATCACACAGCAACAGCGGCAATATTAGCTTGCTCGGCCGCTGTTGTTGGTGTCGGCCTTATCGTCTACTTGAGAAGATCATCATAAACTTAAAGAAGAACAAAAGGAAAAAAAAAAACAAGGAAAATGAAAGATTTTCCAATGGCAGCATAGAACTCTGCTTAAAACTCAAACAAAACTAAATGGAGCGAAAGAATAAGTTTGTTTCTCCGCGTGAGAAGATAGGATATTAGATGATCGTGATCTCACGAAAAATAGAATCGTTTGGGATAGTCCTCCTCCTGTCCATGGTTCGAATCGTGTCAGACAAGTGGTGATATCTGGGTGTGTCCATCATTGTTTGACCCGTTGCAGTAAATTTGTAGACTAGGTTACGCTGTTGCTGTCCGTTTGGTTTCTAGGGTTTTCTGTGGCGCTGATCGATCGACTAGATCGCGGAGCGCCGGCAGCGCGTCACAGATCACCGGGTTCTGGCACCGCCAGCAATTAGAGCAATGAAATCGAGCGCGCGCGCGATTGTGAGGTAATTCGCAGGGGAATGCGCTGGATTTTGGTGTGAGTGCGCAGGCGATTGATATTCTCGCTAATCGCCCGCGCTTGGAAGAAACCATAGCGAAGAGAAATGTAGTGTTTCGCTGAGTGATGAGATCCCTGGGTATTATGGATTCCTGCCGGAGCAGCCAGGTCCATGCGGATGTTTGCGTGGATAAGGCCACATTCGACCCCAGATTGCCTCTCAAGGCCGGCTCTAAGGCGGATGGAGAGTCCTGTTCATATAGCGGGTAAGCAAGCAACGCACTAAGGAAAAAAAAAAAGATAGAATTTTCCCTTGCTTGTTCTGCCTATCTGATTCTTTTTTCGTTTTCCAGACTGTCCGTTTCTCAGTTAGCGGATCCTCCCATTCAACCGTATTACAAGCCCGTAGACTACGTCGACACTCTCGGCCAAGTCCACCAAGAGCTAGAAGTTTCGCCCGACCATGACAAGTCCAGACTCTACTTGGAGCAGTCGTTTGTTTTCAGAGGCTTGGGTGAGCTCAAACTGCTCCGGCGAAGCCTCCGATCAGCCTGGCAGCACGCGACGTCAACTCACGAGAAGCTTGTGTACGCGTCATGGTTAAAGTATGAAAGGCGAGAGGAAGAGCTGGATAGCAAGTCAGCCGACTGCTGCGGCGTTGGCAAGCTAGATCTTCCACAACTGGAGGGTGCGGATGATCTGCTGCAAGCTTGCTCAACGTCTGGCTCAGATGACGACGATATCGTTTTTCTCTTCGGATCAGAGCGGGTCCACTGCAACAGGCAAAAGATTGCAGCGTTATCAGCCCCGTTTTACGCAATGCTAAATGGCTGCTTCACGGAATCTCAGACTCGTGCCATTCAGTTTTCCGAGAATGGCATTTCGGTTGCGGGGATGAAAGTGGTGGATACTTTCAGCAAGACAGGGACGCTGGGTCGACTGCCGCCTAAGATTATTTTGGAAGTTCTGTCGTTTTCAAACAGGTTTTTTTGCGAGAGGATGAAAGTTGCTTGCGACCAAAGCTTAGCAGCTCTTATACACAACCTGGACGATGCTATAGCGTTCGTCGACTATGGATTGGAGGAAACTGCACAGGTACTTGTTGCTACATGCTTGCAAGTTTTTCTAAGGGAGCTGCCTTTATCTTTGCGGAATCCGAACGTCTCGAAACATTTCTGCAACGCGGAGTCTAGGAAGAGATTTATCGCAGTGGGGCACTCGTCTTTTGCGTTGTACGCTCTACTGAGCCAGGTGGCTATGGAAGACGATATCAGCTCTCAACTCTCCGCCAGCCTTCTCTGTCAGCTCAGGGATTGTGCGTCGTCATTTCGGCAGAGAGCTCTAGTGTATCACCAGCAAGGCTGCGTGATGCTGGCCAGGAAACAATACAAGGAAGCACTCGAGTTCTTCCAAGCGGCTGCTGAAGAAGGCCATGCCTACTCTTGCGCTGGGATCGCCAGAGTAAAGTTGAAGTGTGGGGACAAACAGGCTGCTTTCAAAGAGACTACCTGCTTGATAACTTGCTACAAGGCTTGTGGCTGGATGTACCAGGAAAGATCTCTATACGGCAGCGGGAAAATGAAGATGGCCGATCTCGACAAGGCAACCGACCTCGATCCGACACTGACATATCCTTACAAGTACCGAGCTGCTGCCTTGATGGACGATCACAAAGTGGTGGAAGCTATAGCAGAGATCAATCGGGTTTTATGCTTCAAGGTGACTCCTGATTGCTTAGAGCTACGAATTTATTTCTGCCTTGCACTGCAAGACTACGACGGAGCAGTGCGAGATATTCGAGCTCTTTTGACTCTCGATCCAGCTTATATGATGTACACTGGTCGTGTTAGCGCAGCGCAACTTTTGGTGCTCTTGAGCGAGCATGTCGACCAATGGACAAAGGCAGACTGCTGGATGCAGCTATATGACAGGTGGTCTTCTGTCGATGATATTGGCTCGCTTGCGGTTGTTCATCAAATGCTGGAAACGGATCCTGGAAAAGGCCTTCTTTACTTCAGGCAATCACTTCTCCTGCTCAGGTAATTTTTATCGATGTTTCTTGTGCTCTATGGGACTCACACCCTCTGCCTGTTGCACAGATTAAGCTGTCCGAAAGCTGCAATGCGGAGCTTGAGACTTGCGCGGGAGCATACGACGAGCGTTCCTGAAAGACTAGTGTACGAGGGCTGGATTTTATATGATACCGGCCATCGGCAGGAAGCCTTGCAAAAAGCAGAAGAATCCATCAGCATTCACCGGTCGTTTGAGGCCTTTTTCCTGAAAGCTTATGCGTTGGCAGATACTAGCCTGGATCCAGAATCGTCAACCAAGGTTATAAACCTTTTAGAAGAAGCATTGAGATGTCCATCAGATGGACTCCGGAAGGGTCAGGTAATATCTTATCTCCTTCCATGTTTAGCTCGTGAAAGCTTGCTCACTCTTCAAACTTTTTCAGGCGTTAAACAACTTGGGAAGTGTCTACGTCGATTGTGGCAAGTTCGACTTGGCTGCTGATTGCTACGTAAGTGCCCTCAAGATCCGTCACACACGAGCACATCAGGGCCTCGCACGAGTGCACTTCCTCCAAGGTGACAGGAAGTCCGCCTACGATGAGATGACGAAGCTGATAGAAAAAGCATGCAACAAGGCCTCGGCTTATGAGAAACGCTCCGAGTACTGCGAACGGGACATTGGCATTTCAGACTTGAATATGGTGACGAAAATTGATCCGCTTCGTACCTATCCATACAGATATCGAGCCGCAGGTTAGCCTCATCTTTTTCGCACAGGCTTTGGTTTCTCAGTATTTCAGTTCCACCTGTGCAGTGTTGATGGATAACCACAGAGAACAGGAAGCTATAGCAGAACTTTCAAAAGCCATTGCCTTCAAGGCCGACCTTCAGTTACTACACTTGCGTGGAGCTTTTTACGAATGCGTGGGTGATGTTGCGGCAGCACTCCGCGACTGCCGGGCCGCCTTGTCTGTGGATCCACACCACACCGACACGCTCGAGCTCCAGAACAAAGTCATGCAAGTCCGGGCGTGAAAGCACTCCGTGTACCACTACTGCTACAACGTCTACAAGCTTAGGAAATGTACAATGATCGGCACTTTGATGATCGTCTATCTCGTCTGCTCAACACCTTGCTACTTTTTAGCTTATAGCTGGAGAGACACCAAACGGCGCCTTGTCCCTCCAGCGAAGTTTGCAAACCGGTAAATGTATCATTCACAATAAGCAGATTCAATTTATTCTTTACGTTCCCTTTTCCTTCAAACTTAAAAAGCTGATGAGTCTTGTTTCTTTCATTCTAGATGCCAGAGTGAAGATCACAAACTGGGAGTTTCTTTTATACAGGTGAATCACTGGATGTGTCTCGAAAGATTATTTTGGTTAGCTATTAACTTGTGTAAGGCTTTCTTGATCTTACACTCTTGGGTTCCGGGGGATTGGAGCAAGCGAAAGATTGTCTCACTGGTGATTCGAGCAATCCTTGTCTCCTATTCTTTCACCACCAGCATATAGTGGTGTCTTCGATGCTTCCTCGGTGCTCGAAGAATTTCGTTGATGTGTTCTCTTTAGTTTGATCAATTCTTTTGTGCCAACGAAATTTTCTTCTCGGTAACAACCATTCGAAGACGACAAATACGAGAACTCGACGACCATGCAAGCCTTTGATTCCCGTGCCATCTGAGCCGCTGTCCCGAGACTGCCAACGGCGGAGATGTAGATAAACCGATTTGGCGCATCTTGACCGTTTGGAGCGGGGCGGGTATCCGACGGTCTCCTTTTGTTAGTCAAATTAAACCCAAACTGTTGACACAAATGCTGGGAGGTGAGAGCGAGCGAAAGGGGTATTGATATTCATCACTTCCATCGATCAATCCATCCCGTGAGCATTTGGGTCGTTAGCGCTCATCGAATCCGAGCTCGCATTGGGGCGAATTGGCGGGGATATGGCGTCCACAGCTGCAATGGGGCAGGCCACCACGATCCCAGCGTCTCTGAGCGGCCTCAAGAGCATGGAATCGGCTCCCAGCTGCCTCAAGCCATCGCCCACAAAAGTGGGAGGTAGCGCTGCCCGATTGAGAAGGCGAGGTCGGATTACCACCCGGAGCATGGCTCAGGATGTCGTGGAGATGGAGCCGGCATCGCAGAACAGTCCTCTTCTAGGTGAGATTAAGATTCTAGCTGAAAGTTAGAACAAAGAACAAGCTAGCTAGCATTCTCCTTCTTCTTCTTCTTCTTCTTCTTCTTCTTTTCTTTCTTTTCTTTCCTGACTGTTTTGGATGGATTATTTCGTTCAGTGCCGAGGCAAAAGTACTGTGAGTCCGTCCATAAAACGATCCGTCGACAAACTAGCACTGTGATGGTTGGAAACGTCGCTGTTGGTAGCGAGCATCCAATTCGCGTCCAAACGATGACCACTACTGATACCAAAGATGTTCTAGGAACTGTTGATCAGGTAAAGAACAAAAAGAAAGTTTCGAGCTTTTCACATCTTTCTTTCATCCAGGTTATGAAGATAGCTGATAGAGGCGCAGATATTGTGAGAATCACTGTGCAAGGGAAAAAGGAAGCAGACTGTTGCTACGAGATTAAAAACACTCTTGTCAAGAAAGGGTATGAAAACTTACTTCCGATTCTCTAGCTCGTTCGGTTTTTGGTGATGATCTTTGTTTTTCTTTGCAGATATTCTATTCCCTTGGTTGCAGATATCCATTTTGCTCCATCGGTTGCGCTCAGAGTTGCCGAATGCTTCGATAAAATCCGCATCAACCCCGGAAACTTTGGTGAGTTTCTTGTTTGAGTGTACACAAGGCTTTATGACCATTTGACGATCTTCCAGCCGATCGAAGAGCACAGTTTGAGACGCTTGAGTACACGGAAGACGATTACCAGAAAGAGCTAGAACACATCGAAGCAGTATGTGAATCATATATGTTCTTGTCGATTGAAATTTACATCGCTATGTAAAAACCGACCGCAGGTTTTTACTCCTCTCGTCGAGAAATGCAAGAAGTATGGCCGAGCGATAAGAATTGGCACGAACCACGGCAGCTTGTCCGACCGCACCATGAGCTACTACGGCGACTCACCAAGAGGAATGGTAATTCTTCAGTTTCTTTTTCTTTTCTCATAACTGATCTTCTCTTCGTTTGCATTGTAGGTGGAATCAGCGTTTGAGTTTGCACGGATTTGTCGAAAGCTCGACTTTCACAACTTCCTCTTCTCGATGAAAGCAAGCAATCCGGTGGTGATGGTTCAAGCGTATCGTTTGCTGGTGGCTGAAATGTACGTAAACGGATGGAACTATCCACTGCACTTGGGAGTCACTGAAGCTGGCGAGGGTGAAGACGGCCGCATGAAATCCGCGATTGGAATTGGAGCTCTTCTACAAGACGGGCTTGGTGACACTATTCGTGTCTCGCTCACGGAGCCACCGGAAGAAGAAATCGATCCCTGCACAAGGCTTGCAAATCTGGGAATGCGTGCATCGTCTTTGCAACTCGGAGCACCAGTACGAAGCTTTTCCTTGTTGCTACTTTGCTTCTCAACTCCATTTTCCAGGAGCAATTCGAGGAGAAACATCGTCGCTACTTTGATTTCCAGAGAAGAAGTGGACAGCTACCGCTTCAAAAGGAGGTTGGTCTATTCAAGCTTATGTATTTATTGTTCTACGTTTTGATGGCTCTCTTTAGGGAGAAAGTGTCGACTACCGTGGCGTGTTGCATCGCGATGGATCTGTTCTCATGTCCGTGTCTCTGGATCAACTCAAGGTTTGATATAAAATCTTTACTTTCTATGCTCTATCTGACACAATATCAATCGTCTTGGCAGAATGCGGAGCAGTTTTACAGGTCTCTCGCAACGAAACTTATCATAGGAATGCCTTACAAGGTACTGGATTACTTGCTATTCATGTGGAGTTTCTCGCTGAAAGTTATTGATCAAAACAGGACGTTGCTACTGTTGATTCGATCCTGCTCAAGGAGCTTCCAGCTTTAGACGACAAGGCATCGGTTCGTAAAAGTTTTTGAGCTTGCAGCCAGTGACCGCTAACTTGATCTTTGCAGAGGCTTACACTCAAAAGACTGGTGGACATAAGCATGGGAATACTGACTCCATTGTCACAGCAGCTTGAAAGACCACTTCCTCACGCCATAGCTCTCGTCACACTCGAAGAACTTGCGTCCGGTGCTCACAACCAGCTTCCTCAAGGTTTGTTTTCCTTTGGTTTGTTTTCTTTCTTTGATGAAGTTTCTTTTTTTCGCTCAGGAAGCCGTATTGCTGTGATTGTGCATGGAAATGAGCCATCGGAATTGCTGGAGCTGCTCAAAACGGTGGATGCGGTAATGCTGCTACTTAACTCGCCACATGAAGAGACAGTCAGCCATGTCCACAACGCACGAAGGTTTATTTTCAAGTCGGCACTAAACTTCTTCTTAACGTGAAAGCCCTTTTGCAGGTTGCTTGAGTATCTCCAGTCGAATTCTCTAAGCTTTCCAGTTATCCACAACTTGGAATTCAAGCAAGGCCTTCGCAGGTACGACACAAGTTTCTTTCTTTATTGTTTCCTTATTCCTAATGGCATTCTTTTTTCTCAGGGATGATTTCGTGATCAAGGCTGGAAGCGAAGCAGGAGCTTTGCTAGTGGATGGTCTGGGCGATGGAATACTCCTGGATGCAGCCGACCAAGACTTTGACTTTGTTCGTTCTACTTCGTTTGGACTTCTTCAAGGCTGCCGAATGAGGAACACAAAAACTGTAAGTATGAGCTTGAAGTCCTGGTTTTTCTCATATCTTTCATCTCCTCCAGGAATATGTGTCCTGTCCATCTTGTGGAAGAACTCTGTTTGATCTTCAAGACGTGAGCGCAGAGATCCGTGAGAAAACTTCGCATTTACCCGGAGTTTCAGTAAGTCACACACACTCCTTGTCGATGATATAACAATCTTTTCTTGCTGTAGATTGCGATCATGGGATGCATCGTAAATGGTCCTGGAGAGATGGCCGACGCTGATTTCGGCTATGTAGGAGGTGCTCCTGGAAAGATTGACTTATACGTAGGAAAGGTACGTGATTTTCTCCAGGGATAGTGGGAGCATTGGTTTAAATCATCGTTCTTTACAGCAAGTTGTCAAGCGTGGTATTGCCAAGGATCAAGCAACCGATGCTCTTATTCAACTCATCAAGGATCACGGCCGCTGGGTTGACCCAGAGGTAGACAACAATTAGCTTCGCTCAAGCTCGCAAAAGATTATTTTTTGAAGTCCCCCAAGTTTGAGAGAGGTCTGGAAGCGAAAAACACAGACAAGAAGAAGCTGCTGGCTTGAGATCGATGAAGAAAAGCTTACATGTTTACAAGGCTTTGTAGCTTGGATTCACCAGGTTCTCTATGCCGGAAGTCACTCTCATAGATTCGATTGTATCACCGACTTTGAGGTCTGCAAGATATTCTTGGTTTTGGACAACGTAGCCGAAGACCGAGTAGCGGCCGTCTAGTATGTTGGCATTGCTCGGAGTGAGCTCGCTTTCTTTCAATAGCCAAAATATCTGGCTGGAAGCCGAGTCGTTCTCAAACTCCTGCAAACAAAGAAAATCTTCAATAGACATAAAGAGGCCGTTTTTCTTACGTCGCGAGCCATGGCTAGCGTGCCAAACGCGTTGAATGGCAGCTTTGTTTTGGCTTTGTATCGCCCAAGTTCCTAGAAACACACAAACAGTGGTGCTAAAGGCATTGAAAATAACAGCAAGTGTACCTCCAGTGTGGCTCCGTAGATTGGAGCCTTGTCTCCGTCGACCATAATTTCCAAAGGAATGGTTCTTACTTTTCCCGTGCCTGGGTCGACAAAACCTTCAGCTGGTCCGGCAGGATCTCCCGTCTGGACAACAAATCCATCCGCTACAATAAACAAGGAGTGAAGTCAATGCTTTTTAAAAGATCAATCACGTCATACCTCGCTGGATTTCCATTCCATCGTAGAAATGCCTCTCGACCAAGTCAAGGAAGTTTCCCGCTGTTACCGGCGCGTTGTATCCATCGGCAACTATCCGGAACACCACACTTTGTACGTTGGGATTGTCCTTCACGTTAACTTTCATCTCCACTGTAGCTCTTCCCTTCAGGAGTGGTCTGCTGGCATACTCCTCCGGGACCTCAAACGGAAACTGTGCCACCATGTCCTCCTCTACACTGCAGAAATCCAACGCCAGCTGCATTCAATACCAGAAGTATTCCTCATGAGACACTAACAATATCACGCAGCCAGACACTTACTTTCCGACAATGTTGAGAAGTTCCGTTTGCTTTGGTGCCACACTCTCCTTGTCTGTCACGGTCTGAAAGTCCTGGAGCCCCGTGACAAGAGAACTTAGTAGCCCCTCAGCATGGCTCTTCTTCGCTTCGGCAACATCCGCAAGAATTTTCTCTTTGCTCTGGCTCAAGACGCGAGCAGCTTGCCTGACATTCTATGCCACACAGAATTCTCATTAGAACGCAAACAGAATGAGAAACAAAAAACAAACCTTTCCAACGCTGTCAAGAGCTCTCGGCCCAGGAACTTTCAAGTTCTCGGTTATGTCCTCGAGAGATCTTTGGACCTCCCTGATCGGCTTGTTATCGATCGGCAGTCCATACCTCAAAAGCGCCGAAGGATCCTTGATCGGAGGACCCGATATGAGAGCGGCCACATCCGACACGGCAGGACCTCTCACAAAGGCATGGACCTCCTGAGGCCTCAAGGGCAGCGCAAACGTAGCAGCCAGTGCCACACACACGGCATACTTTTGGAAAGCTTTCATCAACAATCCATCGCCATCTCCCTGTCATTCGAGAGAAAGAACGAAATGAGAATGCGATTGACAACGATGGATCGTTACTCACCTCGCCAGGACCGCATTGCGCTCGGCATTGCATCGATAACCTACATTTCTTCCGCGGCACTGCCCTGAGCTGCTGCGATCCATCGGCACAGCCAGCCGGATCCAGGCGCTGGAGCTTGAACGAGGAGGAGGAGGAGGAGGAGGAGGCGCAATATTCTAACCTAAGAGGCCGCCACACGCACATCGCCATAGCTGCGCGATCAATAGAGCAGCCACTGGAAGGGATAGAATTCCTAGAACACGTGGATCACGTTATCGGGATAAAGCCAGCTGTACACTACCCTAATTAGGGCAAAGGTGGACGCTAGAAGAATCGCGGGGAGTACAGGTGTGTGGGTGGCGTGCGGTACACCGCGGAGCCGGGCGGTGTCGCCGGCGGCGTACCGGGTGGCGAAGTGTTGAGCAGCAGCATCATCATGGTCGTCCGCGACGCCGACGTGGCAGGTGACGTGGCGTGCAGCCGGCGGCTCAGCTTGTTGCCCTGGGGCGAGGGGATGAAGATCGTGCAGTGCATTGGCGGTTCTCGCGCTAGGGCTTTGATGCCCGGCGATGGCGTCGGCGATGGCGTGGCGGGCGGCGTGGAGAAGAGCGATGGCGACGAGGGCGGTGTCACGAAGGGTGTGGCGATGGGCGATGGCGTCCCCGGTGGCTGCTGCTGCTCCAATCCCTGGATGAGGGCGAAATCCAAGGATGCATTGCGGCTGGATCGCATCGTCACCGTCTCGGATTCGATCTCCTCCTTGGTCTCCTCGCGGATTGTGAAGAGGAAGCGAGGAGGACCCATGAGGTAGTCGCCGACGGCGGGGAAGAGCTTGGTGGACGCGAGCTCGCCCGGGAAGGATTGGTGGCGATTGGCGATCACGCTCACCTCTCGCAGCTCCAGTTCCTCGTCAGGGCGATCGAGCTCATTCAGCTCTTGTGGATGATCCCGCTGTTCTTGGCTGTGTGCCTCGAGAAGCGATGTTTCCTGCTGCTGATTGCTGCTCCTATCCATGATCCTGTGAGCTACATTCTTCCTCTTCTTCCAGCAAACCAGATAGTAGAGCTCGCCGACCAAAACGAGCACGAATCCCACGAAAACTACACTCAGCCCGATCCCAAGAGCACCCAAAGAGGATCCCATTTTCTTTCCACCCGATCCACTGCTGGATCTAAATCTATCTAACCTTCTGGATGGGAATTAATGATTCCACTGGCACGCATCAACCACCATGCCGCATTTTTCTGAATCTAGCTAGCCTCGATCAATTTGAGGTGCTGTTCTTGCCAGCTTCTTGTTTTGGCCCAAACGCTGGGATTCCATCCAAATCCTCTCAAATCAACCAGTTGGGCCTAGCGGCATTCCTACCCTCATCTCTGCGACCCTCGAATCCATCGGAATTGGAGCTCGAGTTTCGAGAATCGAGCTCCCCTGTTTTCTATCGGGATTGGAGCGGCTGCCTAGCCTACAGCTAAATGCTTACTCAAATTCCCGCACCAAATTCGGTGATTCTTCCCCGATCTTCGTAGTCGAATTGCGCTTGGGCGAGCGAGCGAGACAGGGAATGGAAAAGGGAAAAGAGTGAGAGCTCTCTCGGGCTTCTCATGCTCTTTCGAATGCTTTGCTTTGCTTTTTTTCTCCTTTTTCATCTCTCACTTTTGTTGCTGCTGCCTGCGAATTTTTGTTTCTTGTTGGAAGGGGCAGAGCAGCAGCAGTAAAAGGAGAGCGTGTGTTGTGTCAGTCCGCTGGCTCGAAACAGCAGGAATTAACAAAATTATCGCTACGCTGCGATTTATTAGCTCCATGCCAAAAAAGGGCGCTCCCACTCTCTCTCTCTCTCGGCCTCGAATCGATGAGCGCTGATAAAATGCGATGGATTCTTCCTCCAAAATCACACAATCGAGCTTCCCATTTGTAAGACATTCCAAATTCCCATTCGCATCCATGGGACAGGGATGATAGAGGCGAATATCCCCCTCTCCATTCAAATCTGTGGTACGGCGTGATCGACGCCGTAGGATGCCAACGGCTAAGATGCGTTTCTCCGTACCATGACGTAGCCGCCACGTCGGCCCTGTTCTGTTAATTTTTTTCCACGAGCGTGTCTCGACGGACGATGACAAGAACAAAAATCTTCCCTGTAGCCCAGATTATATATCTTGACTTCGATTATGATTTTTCTATAAGCGGTGAACAGCTCACCTCCAATTCAGAAGGCGAGGACGTACTCATCCGTTCCTTCTCGGGTACATGTGTGTCCCGCTTTACATACGACTTTCTTCTCTTTTTTTTTTCTCGCAAAGAATCTGGAAAAAAAAAAAGCCAATGACACGATCTCGAGGACTCAAAATCTCTTACCGTAGCTAACCGAAGTCTTTGTACAATGGGGCGCGGAAGATCGAGGTTTGAGATTTTCCACATCGGCCCCCATCGCTTGAACAGTGACGAAGATTTCAAACCTCGAGCCTCCACACCTCTGCGTTGGTGTGCGATATTGACAACAGCGCAAGCCATAGGCATATAGCGCTTCATCAGCTGACGAGACAAAAGCAGATAAGTTAGTTCGCAGGCCACCAAAGTTACGTCTGGGAACTTATAACTTACGGTATTTTGTTTGTTTGCATCAGCAATCGCAAACGCAACCGCAAAGCGCAGAATGGTGGCATGTCGCAATCGGCGAACGTGGAGCCAGGATAATCGATCGTGAGGAGTTTATGCCTGCCACCTTTGCGCCTTTTGACCAAGCTGCGCAGGAATAGCGAAAGAGTTAGAAGCAGGATACGAAGTTTAAAAACTTGAGAGCAGCTGACTAACTCTAGCGAATGGAAAAGAAACCAAGAAAACTGGTTAACCTCGCGCTTACCGCCGACAAATGGCAAAAGAAAAAGCGTACCTTGGAAATGCTTGAGATTCTTCCAGAGAAGAGGTCGCGCTCCAGCAACACGGAAAAGGCCGAGTGAGGCTCAACAGTGTTGCGTGCATTACCATATTCTTGGCCCCCGCATTGCATAGATGTCCTCTAAAGTCAGTCCTTTCTGAGCGCCTCTTTTTCTTTCCTGCCTGCTTTCCCCAAAACCTCTTATTTTCCGTGTGCCGACCTCTTATCAGATTGACTGATTCAAGTTGTTTTGTAGCTCGTAGATACCCTCTGCTCCCCCACAAATCGTTTTCCCTTCCCCAAGGAAAGTCACCAGCGTTTGTTTTCATGTCTCAATCTGCACATAATTCCCTGCTGCTCGCCACAACCGCTGCTGTTGCTGCTGCTACTGCTGCGGCTGCTTTTCGTGCTGCAAAAGCTCCTCATTCCCTTGTTCTTGAAGAGCTCTGAGCAAGGGGGTGTGCAGTCATCCGGTTCCAAGTTGAGGAAGAAGCGCAGCTGGATCATATGGTAATAATTCACCACTTTTGCCATCAAGGATGCCCTGGTGTTGCGTCAGGCGAGGTAGCAGCACGAGTACCAGCAGCAGCAACACCACCAGGCTCAAGGATGCGGCTATGATAGCAACTTGCTTCGTCTCCTTTGTGGCAGCCTTCGCAGTAGCCATGACCACAATTGCTCACAGCGGCGCAAAGAACCTGGCAGCTTCGGTGAGCATACTGGGATCCATAATCTTGGTGCCACCAGTCCTGGTAAGTTTGTTCCTTTCTCGACTTACTACCAGACGCGGTAGTCCCGGTCAGTCTGACGACGAAGAAGACGCGGCCGCCGCTCTTGAGCTGGAGATCCAGGCGCAGCAACAGCTATGGTGGTTCCAATTCCAGGAGTTCGCAATGGAGGACGTCGCTGTGAATCTCCTCGAGCTCCAGGAGCCCGGTAGAGTGAGCTTCCATGGCTGCTTGCGGCTTGGCCCCGACAGTATGCAGGAGGTGTCGATACGGAAACTGGAGCTCACCAAGGCCGTTGACCTGCTTACACACCTAGAATCCGCGGAAATCCGGCAGGAAACTGTCAACCTTGGATCTCTTCGGAGATGCAACGTCCTGCCGCTCCTGGGCTTCAGCCTCACTCACTCATATCTGCTACTGTTCATGCCGAAGTTGAGGAGCCTCACTGACGTGCTCAGAAATTCCAGCCTGAGTTGGAGCTGTCGCTGCCGAGTTGCCGCCTTGGTTGCGAGAGGCCTATCCAGGCTTCACTACTCGAGAGAAGCAGCGGCGACGAGTAATGGGCCAGCAAGCAGCGTGGTGACGGCGGTTCTCCATGGGAATATCCGGTCCGAAAACGTCCATCTCCTGCTGGAAGAAGCCACTGACGATTCACCCCCGACATGCACCCCCTATATTGCGGACACCGGATTTGTGAAGCTCACTTCCATGCCGATTTTCCGCCCCGACGAGATGATCACAAATACTCGAGGCTATGCTGCACCAGAAGTGTCCTCTGGAGGGGCCTTGACGACCAAAAGCGAAGTGTATAGCTTCGGAGTTGTACTCTGCGTGCTGCTCTCCGGACAAACGGACGTCGCGGCATTGAATCCCGTGGCCTTGCTGAAGCAAAAGCTGAAACGATTTATGGATCCCAAGTTGGAGAAGTCGTACAACGGGAGTCAGGCACGAACGATCCAGCAGACAGCTCTCAAGTGTATTCAGAGAGATCCCATGCAGAGACCGGACATGATACGGGTGGAGGCTTGGCTGCGACCTTTGCTGCTGCACACGTGAGCCGGCGATGGTCCTAAATCTGGGTGAGCGGAAACATCTGCTCTGTGAGATTCTGTGCTGCACTTTCAGTCGGAAGGCCTCGGACAGCTCCGATAGTCCACTGAGATATAACTCCCGCAGCAACTACGAACCTCAAGGCCCTCTCAAGCCGGTCCTGATCTTCGAAAATATCAGGCTGGGCCACCAGCTTTCTGATAATCGCTGAAATGGAAAACACGATGGTAGTTAGTATAAAAACTATACAAACACATCGAGCGGATAACTTACCGGCAGAGATGGTGTCACCAGACCCTGTTCTGTCGCAGCTGAAAGCAGAGACAATCACATCTTCCGTGCCAACAACGTCGCCGTGAAACTTTGGAGTATAGTAATGAATCCTGTACGTACCATCCGTGACGAAGAGAATTTTGATGTTGTCACGCCATATCGGAGCAATCTGCTCAAGGGTGTAGTGGTACTCAAACCGCTGATTTTTCCGGGCCTGAAATTCTTCCCATGATGAAGCTATGGAGTCCTTAGCAAGAAGCCTCATCGCTAAGCCTTCGTCTTCAATCAGGAACTCAAGCTCCACCTTGTTGATTTTGATAATGTCCGAGCTCGTCCACGCCTTCTCGATAGCTTCCCACGTCGCGTCTCGTGATATCCAGAATGGAAGAGGGAAGTTCACATCAAAGAATATGAGCGAGCCAAAGCCTCGGGCAGCATCGATAGCGGACATGAGTGTCGAGCACATTTTTTCCGTTGTCAAGCTGATCGATGAGAAATGGAAAAGTTTCGCCTGAGAGACAAGAAAAAACATGAGTCTCACACCTAGAACAAAAGCAAATGTCTTACCTCCTTGAGAATGTCCATGTTAACCTCGGACATGTCAAGGTTGTTTTCAGCGCTCTCGCGTAGGCATTGCATGGATAGTTTGCGCTTCCCAAGCCGTTCAATCTTCCACCTTGACAGAGACGAGGAACGTAGCTGGTCGACTATCACGCCCTTGGTTTCGACTTTGTTTTCTCGTAGAGTCTCGAGAAGCTCCTTGCCGAGATCGTCATTGCCAAGTTTGCCAATGAAGGCTGCCTTCCCAGCGAGACGAGCAATCGAGATAGCAACATTGGCAGGCGATGTCCCTGGGCTTCGTGCGAACTCCGGAGGCATCCACTGCAAGCCTTTCCACGTAGAGTAGGCATCTTCGTCCATCTGCTTTACGCACACCCGGACGGAAGGAATGAAGTCCTTGTACGCCTCGCCAAAGCAGCAAACCAGAGGATTTGGTTCGTTCCTAGGCTTCACGAAAGTCTCCTCGAACTCCCTTCCCAGCCATGGAAACTGTTTCTTCCATAGCCTTCGCGCTGGGTTCCGGAAGAAACTTTTCCTCTTCTCCACCTCTTCTGGATCTTCAAACTCTGCTGCTTCCACCTCCACCTCCACAGCTCCACTGCTAGATAGAAATCTATCTTCTTTGCCTTCTTGGATCAAAGAATCCTCATCCTGTCCGTTACCACTACCTGTGAGAGGATTTCTTCTCCGGGAAACGCTACTGCTTGCCACCTCGGAAGAAGAAGATGAAGATTTCTTCCGGCGGGGAGCCCCAGAGCCCTCGGAAGCCAATTTCTTGGCCGCATTCTTCTTCCTGGGCTTCTTCTCCTCTGGAGCGGCATCAGGCTGTTCCACCATCGCCCTAGCGCCGTGATTTCTCTGGAATCTACAGCGGCCGAGGAGCGCGCAGGAGACATTACCGGCATAGACGAACGGTGGAGCTCCGACCGCCATCGCTCGACATCCAAAAACCTTATAAACCCTAAAGACGTTTGAAATATTTCGAATGTAAGGGATTCTAGGCAAATGTAGGTGCTAGGGATCGATCAATCGAGCACGGATGGGCGCCGGTCGCCACACTCACACGGTCCTCGTCGATACGACATGGAATGGCGCAGCATTCCATCACCGCGGCCTCCATCCGCGCGATCTTGGCGCGGTGATCTTCGTTTGCAACGGCGAGACGATGGAGGAGTGCCTGAGGAAGAATCTTTTCGGACTGCCACGGCCACACATCGCCTACGTCCAGCACATCGACGCAGGGATGCCCCTCTTCTTGTTCAACTACGACGATCGATCGCTCCACGGCGTCTTCGCGGCCACCGGCAAGGGCGCTCTCTCGATCGATCCTCACGCTTGGAGCCCCAACGGTAGCGCGCCGACGAAGTACCCCTGCCAGGTTCGTGTCCGGCTGGAAATCCAGTGCGCTCCACTGCCGGAGAAGGTTTTCTCGAGAGTGATCAAGGAGAACTACGTCTCCGCGGGGCGATTCATGTTCGAGCTTACCAGGAAGCAAATGCACGAGCTTGTGGGACTCTTCACCAAGGGAAAGGTAGCATCTTCTTCGAAGAGCCCTGTGGTGGCTCCTCCTCCTCTTCCTCCGCCGCCAAGCAACAAAGCTCCCACGGCGTGGAAGCAAGTGGTAGCAGCTCCTCCTCCGGCTGTTCTTCCTCAAGCGGCGCCGCCACCACCGCCACCGCCAGCAGCTGTGAAGTCCGAGAACTTGCCGCCTCCTCCTCCGGGTCCTCGAGCGCCGTCACCACCTTCCAGTGATGCAGATCAAGAGTACATTGTTCCGGCAGTTCCTACAGCACAACTCATGGTCCAGGAGGCTCTCCAGTCCGAGGACAATTCGACAGTGCTGGATCGTATCCTCGAGAAGCTCAAGGTTGTCGATCCTCCCGAGGACAAGAATGTCTCGGCTTCCTCGTCGTCTCAAGAGATCATCTTTGGCGCCGCGATGCCTACCGACATGGGGAGCTTGATGCTAGCTTCCGGAGGGCAGTTTGATCCTTCCGTCGCGAAAGCGGTGGATAAAAGCTTGCGGCTGTGCTCCGACGCTGTGGCGGAGATGCGTGAGACCGAGATCCGGCTGGGCAAGACGATGGAGGAGCTGAGAGTGAAAGGGGAGTGTCTCAAGGAGCTGGATGCTGTCCGAGCCAAGAACTTGGAGCTTGCCAACGTGAGCATCAGCTTGTCGGGGCAACTCCAAGAGCTCAAGGCCGAGGTGGCGGCGGTGAAGCGCTTGGCCACCTTTCAGGCGTTGTATCTCATCGGTGGCTCCAGTGGCGAAGGGAAAGATCGCTCTGTGGACAAGTTCGTGCTGCGTGGCGGCGAGCTCTGGCAGGCAGCGCCTCTGCTAGCACCACGATCGTGTTCCGCGGCCGGAGTTTTGAGTGGGAAGATCTACGTGTTTGGAGGCACCATTGGAGAGACCAACGTGACCTCGACCGAGCAGTATGATCCGGAAGGAAACGTCTGGAGTGTGTTGAGCAAGCCGATGGTCAAAGCTCGCGCATACCACGGAGGAGCCGTGGTTGGAAGCAGGATCTTTGCTCTCGGTGGTAGAAACGACACTGCCTTCCTCTCGGAGACGGAGTCATTCGATCAGGAGGTGGGATGGATGGCTTCGGTCCCAATGATGGAGAGACGAGGCGCATTCTCTCCGGTGGTGGTGGAGGGATCGATCTACGCTTTCGGTGGAACAGACGGGAACCTCTACCTCGACTCGGCCGAGCGGTTTGATCCACGCGAGGGCATCTGGAGGAGCCTTCCGCCGATGAGCTCCAAGCGGCTGTGGTTCCAGTCGGCTGCCTGGAACAACAAAGTCTACGTGCTCGGGGGCCACGATGGTTGCGACTACTTGGCGAGTGTGGAGCGCTTTGATCCTCGCGCTGGGAAGTGGGAGACGATCAAGCCACTGGCTGGGTCGAGAGCTCACGGTGCTGCGGCGGTGGTGGACGGATCCATTTGCGTGGTGGCGGGGCTGGACAAGAAGCATCACTTCGTCAACACCATCGAGTGCTACGGTGAATCGTCGAGCTCGCGAGTGATCGAAGTCTGTGATCTCCACCAGCGCAGCTTGTTCTCCCTTGGAGTGATCTGATCGCCGGTATGGTTTTTCTTCGCTATCTCTCTCACACTCTTTCTTCTTTGTTTGACAAGGTTAATAAGTTTCGTTTTGCGATAGATAGATTTGTAGAAAACCTTTTAGAGAAACATTTTAGGGCTGGAGGGAGTGATGGCCGGCGATGGCGCTGGCGATGGCTCTGGCGATGCCCCGCGACGGCTCAAGGGCAAGCTCTGCCGCGAAGAGGTAGCAGTAGTGCTAGCAGCAGTGGCAACGGCAGTGGTTCTTGTCCAGCGATTCGTGGATGAGCACAGCTTGCTTGTGCTTCTCCCCGGCAATGCTGCGGCCGCCCTGGAATCGTCAATGCAGGCTACCAGCAGCGCGCTCGCGAAGCTCCAGACTATGTTCTCGCTCACGGCGGCGAGCGATGCCGCGGCCGCCGCTGCTGATCCGGCCATCGCCAGCGACGATGATCACCAGCTCCATTCTTCCTCGTCGAGCCTGAGAAAGGCCGTCCATGCGATGGGGGATACGATCGCTCCTCCTCGGTTTCACGATGTTTTCCAAAGCGGTGACGATGTCCACTGGAAGGCGAGCTTCCGGATGTCTCGGGCCAGTTTCGCGAGGCTGCTGGAGATTTTAGGCCCGGTTCTCGAGAGACAAGAGCCCGCTGACATCCCCGCCGATCGAAAGCTGGCCGCGACGCTCTACCGCTTGGCTCACGGCGCGACCATCAAAGTCGTAGCTCGCAAGTTTGGAATCAGCACTGGCAGCTGCTCCAAGGCCTTCTACGACGTTTGCAAGGGATTGGAGGAGAAGCTGGGCCACCTGTTCGATTTCCCGACGTCGAGCGAGAGATTGACGAGCATCTCCGGCGAGTTCGCCGCTGTAGGATTGCCACACTGCTGTGGAGCTCTTGGCTGCACCAACTTTGCCGTGGAGAGGCCGCCGGGAGAAATGGGGATCGACTACTTCGATCACACCAGGAACTACAGCGTCGTGATGCAAGGGGTGGTGGACTCTCGCTCGCGGTTTCTCGACATCTCAGTGGGCTGGCCGGGATGCATCCCTCCCGCCGCCATCCTTCTCAAGACGAGGTTCTACTCGCGAGTTCGAGAGAGCCATGAACTTCTCCAAGGACCTCCGCTGGACCTCGGTGGTGGCATTTTCATTCCTCGCTACGTTCTCGGAGACCGCTCCTACAACTTGCAGCCGTGGCTCATCACTCCATACTCCCAGCCCGAGGACTCGAGCTTCGATCTGACTGCTCTCTTCAACAAGGCACACAGGCATGCAATGCGGCCGCTGCGTCGAGCTTTCGGGATGCTCAAGGAGCAGTGGCAGCTGCTCAAGACGACGCAGCGGGTGGACAGCATCGAGCTGCTGCCGTTCATCGTGGCGGCGTCGTGCGTGCTCCAGAACTTCCTCATCGACAACGGGGAGGCGATGCCCGAGGTGGAGGAGGAGCTGGAGCAGCGGGAGCCGGCGGTGGTGGACGGGGATCCAGACGTTTACGGGGAGAGCGTGCGAAGCGCTTTGGCAGGCTTTGTCGGGCAGTATCAAACAGCAATGGGATTTGGAGGAGGTCCAGTGCGATCCGTGGGTCAGATGGTGGTAGATGGAACGAGGAACGGCTAGTCAGTCAGTCGGACAGGATTGGGACACTACGCAGGTATTTCGGAGGCTCTCTCGGGCGGACTTTTTTTTTTTTTTCTTTTTTTTCTACTCATTTGTGGAGGGTGGAAGGATTTCAGGAAGGCAAAGTTAGACAAAGACGCGGTGTTTGCAGCAGAATATCCAGCACACAGTCCTACGAGGCCGAGATTTAATGTCCGGGCAGGAAAGCAGGGACGGGTGGTTTTCTTATCTTTGGGATTTGGAGGTGGCTTAAGTTCAAGTCAAAACAGCAGACTCGGGCAACAGGCCCACCCGTCACATGTGGAGGATATACAGGGGATATGCGTTCTGGATGGCTGAGTGCCGTTGGATCATCGTCTATTTCTCCCGTGGAATGGCATCCCACTGAAGGAGAGAGAGTGAGAGAGTCGGCGGCGGCTGTAGATTTTGTTTGGAGGGGCGGATGTGCTTTGGATGATGGTGGTTCAGTCTGGTTTGGAAGTGCTCATGGAGTTTTGGAACTGAGCTCTGTCTCTTCAGCTGCTGGTTTTTCGTGAGGGAGGTGGAGATTTTAGTTTCCTGGTAGCGGTCCTTTAAAATTTTTTTTTTTCTTTTACTGTTGGAGGAGGAGAAATGCTGAGTGAGGGGGAGACTACTTTGGCAATGGCTGCTGGCTTGACAACAGTCGTACAGAATGGCTGTGTTGATGAGGCAGCAGGAGTGTTCGTAAGCACTGCAGAGGCAAAAGCCCCATGGAACAAGGACGAGGCAGCAAATGGTGCAGCTGAGTGTTCCAAGAGCAAAGCCAGGGATGGCTTGCTGGAGCTGCTGAACAAGTCAGGAGTACCTCCAGCGGCACAAGTAAGCATTTCTTTCCTTTCTAGTTCTAGTAGTCGTGCTTTTTCCGTTTTAGCTTAGGATTCCAGAGAGCTTTGAGATCTGTTGGTAAGATTTTGATGGGCTAGTCTTTGAGAACTGACGACGTGTTGTTTTATCCTCGACTTTGGCAGAGGATGGCTCTTAACATACTCGTGAAGCTTGTCCGAACGGAGGCTGGAAGGTTTGAAACTCATCTCTTTGCGAAGATTTTGTGCTCTCTGGTAAGCCTATTTCAATTTCTAGCTTCTATGCATCTCTAACAACTCGTATGCTGTGCAGATTGAGAGCAAAGGCACTATTGCCACTCCCCTAGATTGTTTGGCCAGCAAGTACTTTGTGTATGGAGACACAAGGTACGAGTTCGCTCTCGTCTGATGTATGGTTTTCGTAACATTCGCTTGTGTATCCAGATGTTGCGTGCTCGACAGGATACATCAGCTTGCCAAGAGTATCTCAGAAGGTAATCTGCTCAAGCTTTCGTTTGACATCATTCTTCTCACTTCTTCGCAGGAGGAACTCGTGGTATTGAGCTGTTGAAGGTGTTGTACGGATATCTGTTTGACAAAAATCCTTTAACATGTGAGAACTCTCTTTGGAAAAATTGCCACGACGCTGACAGTATCAATGTTTCTTTATATGCAGCGGCATGCCTGGCTGCTCCAGAATTCGAACAGGTACGAACTTTGCTCTTGTTTATTGCTGTTTCCTTGCAGTGTTTGCAATTACATTTAGTTTCGTTTTCTTTCTGTCGTCTCATTTTGTGGTCGTTGATACGTTGATCCAGCGATTTCATCTGATGGAGAAATGCTGAATTGCAGAAAGCCGCAGTACTTGAGAGTGATAAGCAGTTCCTGGAGCAGATTACAGCTTTTTGTTCTGCTCTCGCAACGGTACTCTTTTTATTTCTCTCTTTTTGTCAAGTTTTTTCACACGTAATTTCTTTTGTTTGACAGGAGCTTAATGGTCAAGGCGATGGTTGCCTGAGGTATACGAAAAGTTTTATTCTAAAGTGAATTTCTCCCTCGCTGATTTGTTTGCTTCTCCAGAAACGCTAGCGTACTACGGATGCCGCAGCTCATATCTAGTCTTGTAGAAGAGAAAACGGTAGGGACTACATTCTTGACAAGACTGAACTTATATACGCTTTTTTGTAGAATGGCCGATGTAAAGCCAGTGTTGCAGACAATGCACTGCAAGATCCCGAGAAGACTGTGAATGGGGAGGATTTGTCAGCGCTGGTCCTCACAGCAGCAAGAGGCAGAGGCAGCGAGGCTAACACCGGTGGTGCTGTGAGAGCCGGGACTCCGAAAAAGAAAGTGAGCGACGAAGATGAAGTAGAAAACGAGGAAGAGGAGGAGGACGGTGGTGGTGAGAGCGGTGGAGACGAAGGTGACAGCGATGATCCCGACCATGGTGGCAACGAAGAGGAGGAAGAAGGCGAGGAGGAGGAGGAAGAGGAAGAGGAGGATGGAGAAGAAGAGGAGGAAGATGGCGAGCAGCAACAGGGGGTTGGATCAAACGCTGCTCCTACTGCTGCCGCTGCCGCTGCTGCTGCAAGAAACAACAATGCCATCGCCAGTGTTGATGGTGCTCCTGGATTCGACGAGGAAGAAGAAGAGAGCGATCAAGACGGTGGAGTGGAGGACGATGGCGAAGGAGCCGATGGAGGTGAGGATGAAGAGGACGACGATGGCGACGACGATGAAGATGGAGCTCCACCACTCAAGAAAGCCAAGAAATGAAGAGCGCCACATTTTTCTCTTCTTTGTTTTCTTTGTTTTTCGCGAACAAACACTCCTCACACACTGGTCGTTTTAAATTTGAAATTTCTAGCGATGCGAAGAGCCCTAAAAAGGGATTTGGAAGGCTCCGGGAATGGTTTGATCGATCGACCTATCGATTCGATCGCGACGCTTTTGTGCTCTTGCAGATCCAAGCCGTGTTCCTCGTGAGCCGCCAAGGGAAAGTGCGGCTCCAGAAATGGTATACTGCTTATCCAGGGAAAGATCGGCCTAAAGTAAGCGCCTACATTTTCTCTGATTTCCTCTTTGACTCTCTCTCTCTCTCTCTCTCTCTCTCTCTTATCCAATGCAGGCGATCAGAGAAATCACGAGCATCATTCTGTCCAGAGGAACCAGGCTTTGCAATTTCATTGAATGGAAGGATTTGAAAGTCATCTACAAGCGGTAAGAAGCTCAAATCCTTTCTCTCTACGCGCTTGAGGTTTTGTTCTTGTTCTAGATATGCGAGCTTGTATTTTTGTATGTGCGTTGATGCCGACGACAACGAGCTCGACTGCTTGGAAGTCATACACCTCTTTGTGGAAGTTCTAGACCGCTACTTTGGCAACGTAAGCGTTTTTTTTCTTTCGCTTCTTCTTCTATAGACTTTACTTATATGTTTGTTTTCTCTCGCTCTGGAATCCAGGTTTGCGAGCTCGACTTGGTTTTTAATTTCCACAAGGTCAGCCAGCGACTTTAAGTTTTGAGAGCAACGTCAATACTTGGTGTGGTTTTTTATTTTTCTTTTTCTTTTCGTTTTTGTGTGTGTATGCAGGCGTATTATATCCTGGACGAGGTACTGCTGTCGGGAGAGCTACAGGAGTCGAGCAAAAAATCCGTGGCTCGAGTCATTTCTGCTCAGGCACGCATTAACTTGTCTCTAGCCTTTTCTCTGTTCTTTCTTTTTCTCCCTTTTAATGCCATTGTTTTTCCAGGACACCATGGTTGAGAAAGCCAAAGAAACCGGCATTTCCCACATGATGTCGTCAAGCAGCAAGTGAAAGTGGGCATCTTAAGTGAGAGTGGTCTGAGCTTGTAAGTCTTTCGGAGTTTTTTCATCGAGTTGGATCTTCGTCCAGCCAAACCCTTTCCAGTTTCCATGAAGGTTTCCTGGAAGATTTTAGTTTGGTGCCGCAAAGCATTCTAGTCTTTGATTCTGTTGGTATTATAGATACGTAGTTGCAACGACATTGTTGTTTTCATTGGCGCTCTACACCGACGTGAACTACTTGGAAAAGCCGGGGTGGCAACACTATCTTCCTCACATTTTTGCGACAAGGGCCGCTTGTGGGTGTTTCTTTTTCTCTGGCCGCCTTCACTGCAAAGTTTAAGCAAGCAAACAATGCTCATTTAAGCAAGTTTCATCCAAACAAACAATGCGAATCAGATTTTTATTTGAGAATTTTCTAAGCTCCTCATTCTTCTGGCTCCACAAAGAATTTTTGGCCATGTAGCTGAAAGAAAACAAAGGAAAAATAAAAACGATTATTTTGACAACTTAAACCACTAGATTGTGGCCGCAAAATGCAAGTCTGATGATTCCCGGAGCGTTAAGAACGTTCGTGGCGGGGGAGCACGGCCATTTAGGAAACTCGTGACGACAAGGTACCACTCCACGTTTGTGAGAATCCTGCTGGGCAATTCTGGCACACGGATCTGTAAAGCGCTATAGTTTTGGTCTTGGAAGACAAAGTATGGAACAGATTTTCGTGAGAAAGTTAAAGAGCTGGTTTCATGTTTGTTTTCGCTTCTTGATCGAGCTGAGAGTTGGACTGTCTAGAGCTTCCAGAAAAGCGCTGCCCAGAACTCCATAAGTCGTCAACGAAAGAAGAAAAGAAAAAGAGAAAGTAAGTTGCTGCATCAAGAGAGCTAGCTATGGAACTTATAAAACCACCAAAAAACCCATTCAACAGCACCGGTGTATTTTTCACAAAACTGTGAATTTCTTCGTCGATTGGATCGTCAGGAGTCAGGACCACACTGAAAACGACAGAGGAAAAGCAAAAGAGAAAACAAGTTGTGTCATTATGGCAAATTCCAGCACAACAAAGCGGGCAAGGAATTACAGATCAAACAAACTTACTTATAAGGGGGCTGAGATCTTCTAGCTCTCAACCAAAAGTAAGGAGACTGCAGTTCAATTGAGAAGCATAGAAGATGTACATAAAATTGGTCAATGTACCTCGTCACAGCTAGAATCATCGTCAGAGATACTTTCACCATCCCACCATGCTCGTGCATTTCTTCCTCGATTGGATCGTCAGGAGCCAGGACTACACAAACCAGAAAATCAAAGGAAAACAGCAGTGTTCACGTAAAGATTGAAATCTGCGAAAGCAGGAACTCAGGAACTCGTAGACCTTGATCAGCGATCAAGGTCTAGCACCGGTGTACCTTTCACAAAACTGTCCATTTCTTCGTTGATTGGGTCGTCAGGAGTCAGGACCACACTGAAAATGACAGAGGAAAAGCAAAAGAGAAGACAAGTTGTATCATTAGAGAGATATGGCAAAATTCCATCACAACAAAGCAGACAAGGAATTACAGATCAAACAAACTTACTTATAAGGGGGCTGAGTTCTTCTTGAGGTCCCCTTCTGTTTCTGGCTCTCAACCAAAAGTAAGGAGACTGCAGTTCAATCGAGAAACATAGAAGATGTACATAAAAACTTGATCAATGTACCTCGTCACGGCTCAAATCATCGTCAGAGATACTACCATGCTCGTGCATTCCTTCCTCGATTGGGACTACACAAACCAGAAAATCAAAGGAAAACAGCAGTGTTCACGTAAAGATTGAAATCTGCGAAAGCAGGAACTCGGGAACTCGTAGACCTTGATCAGTGATCGCGCCCGAAGGCTTGGCCAAAGCAAATGTGCATAAATGTGAGCTTAGTATGGAAATCAAACCGCTACTCGCAGACTAGCAAAAGGTGGCATCCCTGCGGTGCATGGGAAACTTGCGATCGCTCATGTAGACGAACCGAACCTCCCTTCGCGGTTCAAGAGGTCCGCCATCCAGAACGAGACAATCACCTGGCGAGAGGCGGTGGAAAACCCCCGGATCGACGAGCTTGTAGGACGCGAATTTGCCGCAATCGACGTGAATCCCGCACACACTGCGCTCGCCCTCGTTCATGATCACCACTTCGAACTCGAGCACATCGCCGGTATCCACCTGGCTGATCTCAATGTTCCTCATGGGCCGGTCTACACAAATGGAAGAAAACAAATGGAGTGAGGAAGAAACGAAAGAAAAGGATCCAAAACAAATGAAACTTACCTGAATCGCTGGAAGCCGGAAGAACGGAGATCAAGAGATGCAGAATGAACAGCTTGCGCAATGCTTCCTCTAGGATCATCCTCATCGTGGATCGAGCAAGAAAAAAGAAGAAGAAGCTACTCTCTCTTATGGTGAAACACGAGTATTTATCCTAAGGCTGCATCGCCCCGTAATCTGGGATACGTACGTGAAACACCGGTTTTTGGAATGTATAAGCTTAAGCGAATTAAATCTCCTCTGCGAGGTTGTGCCACCTTCCACGTATAATCATAAAATCCGTTCTCTCATAGCAGTGGGCTTGACCGAAATGGCTTCTAGAGACTTTTAATCGTGTGGCTTCCCAACAGATATATTTTTGTTGCGATTAAAGAAAGGATGGCACTTCTTTGCAGGCTCCTGTGAGACCAGGAAATTGCTAACATTATGATAAGAAACACAAGTTTGGATGTTCGCACCAGTCCCAAAAGACCTGGAAAAATAGAAAACGGATGTTTCATAAAACCGTTGACCAAATAGACAGATACAAACTCCAGGAAGGGCCTAATCTCAACAATTTCCGGCCTTCGAGCATAATCTTTGTCTGTATTTCTGAAACTTAACAAGAAACATGAGAATGCTTGACAGCAGAGTTTGATGAGTTTCAAACCTTCCATTCAGACAAGTTTCATGAGTATGTTAAGATAAACCACCATAAAAAATACATTTAAATATCATAATAAGAATTTAACAATTTTTAAAATAACTAACATTGAGTAATAGATTTTTAAAATTAAATTTTAATCTATCTAGGAACAAGAGCCACAATCTTATGGACTGTGTGATTTATCCAGATACTCTTCACCAGTCACATAACTATCCTCCTTTACATCTTTGCCTTTGATATCTTTTCCTTTTTGTTTTGGCTTGGTGCTGGAAGTTGGTTTATATTGGTGCCCAAAAGCACATGGGTGAGCTTTAACCCCATTAGCTAGAACCATAGGCCTAGAGCCTTTCTCTATTTCATATATTGAGTAAAATCCCTTAAAGCACCATGCCATTTGGGAAACCCTTAATCCTTTATGGAGAAGAATTCATGGAGCTGTGTAAAAAAAGGATTAATGCAGCAAAGTATAAAAAACAATTTATTGCCTACCAAGGAAAGGATAATGCTCTTATTTCAATCTACCTGGCATGATAAACCGTGTACATTGGATAGTTCTAGCCCATTTTTGCTCACCAAAACAGTTAGCTTAAACTTGCCTTTTGACAAACTCTGAGAGAAAGTTACAAAAGAAATTTTGGCATTCAAGTGAAATTTGCTACTTTACTACAGCCATATAGTGTTGAGTTTACCACTTGATTTCATATTGATATCCATGATTTTTTATATCCATGAGAGGGTCCTTCAATTAGTAGCTTTGGTAATGTTGGCAATGTAAGATGGGTTTATACAAGCCAAATTATACAACCTTCTAGCAGTTTTTATTGGTTGTGGTACTCTATATTTCAACTATTTCAACAGCTGTTGAGAATTTTTGCCTAGCCCATGGTCCTTACAATTGGTTGAACTTCCATACTTCTGGTATTTGATCCTTTGGAAAACTCTTGAATGCAGCATGTGGCATCAAGAAATCTAGCATTCCAAAACGTGTTTTAACACATACTTTGCTAGATCAATAATTAACTAGCTATAGATGAGCACATTATTAAAAGAACTTACTTGCCTTGCCTGAAGCCAATTTTCTTTTCTAGTCTTTACTTTGTTGTGACAATGGGTAGGGCGCCATTAGATTCTAAGGAATATTCACAGGCGTAGTATAAGTGCGTGCAAGGTTTGACACTGCTATAACCCTGTGGGAAAAAAAAAAGTTCTTTCCTCGTTAGAAAAGCTCTTAGGAACGCTTACTAGAAATGCTTATCATATTACTTGTTGAAAGGAAGTATGAACACGAAAACAAAGAACAATTATGTTAAAACATCACAACACAGCTTCATGGCTGCATATGCCGCAGGACTGGTGGCCATGAGGTACTCACCCGTTGCAGTGTGCTGCGCAGGCACGTCTCTGTACTTAGTAGCCTTGGTAAGCAAGCGAACATGGATGATATTGCTGCGCACCAGCTGCTGGTGCACAACTCTGTTGCCGTGGTGGATCTGCCCACCAAAAACTTCGGCTACCACCGTCCTGTACGCCGCGGCACCACCACCCTCCACAATCGCCTTGAAGATCCCCGTCAACTCTGCTGGAGTCCATCCTTCCCCAAGCCCCATAGTCATCTCCAAGTTCACCCTTGCCACGTCTATGAGATCCTGGGCTTGCGCCACTAGATTGGTAGCGTCCTCATCATTGTCAAGAGAAGCGTTGAGCGCCAGCGTTTTCAATTGATACGGGCTTCCACCAGCTGCCTCAAAGATGGAAGGCCAAACAGTCGCCTCCCAGTCTTGCGGGAGCTTCAAGCCCAGAGTTGGTGCGACGTGCTCGGAGAAAAACTGCTTGGCTTCATCTTCGCAAAACAGGCCGAGTCCTATTGTCTTGAATTTGCCATCCGCGAACTTCCTACGCAGCCACGACCGGAAGAACTCGTCCGAGGAAGCCATGACCACATGAGCCCTCCCAGTCTGCTTGGTCATGCCCTCCATGAAACCGAGCAAGTCGTCGAGCTCCTTGTCGTAGACCGCCTTCCCACTTGGCGAGCTTGTTAGCCTCGTCGAAGATGATAACCGGCTTGACGCACTTGTATTGAGCTAAAAATCTCTGGATGATCCCTTGGATCGCCACAAGTCCTGCCCCTCGGATGCCTTGAATACTTTCCCAGAAAGATTTGATTCCTTGAGCGATCTCCCCAGCTGGAACCCCCATCACGCTCGCATCCCCCAGAGACCCGAGTAAATCCCGGACTTGTTTCTGCCAGCCGCCCAATTCTGTCCTCAGCAAAGCGGCCATGGCATCCGGAGACGAGCAATCGTTGATGCGCATGTCGATGATGACCAACGGAGCCAAAGCGCTCCTGCCCGCGGAACTTTTCCAGAGCTCACGCAGATGCGTCAGTAACAGCGACTTTCCCGCATCCTTGGGACCCAGGAGCACATTGATTTGTAAAGGCTCAGCATCCAGGATCCTGACCAACCTCTCCAGC